CTCAAACTCCATATAACCACTTCTTATTCACTCAGATGATCTAGAAAAAGTTTAATATAGAAGGACCCAGGTTCAGAACATACTATATTCAGACATAATCGGATGTATTCATAATACATTCAGATAAATGGAGATGAGTAGAATTGGTCCATAGAGTTATTGGAGGATTTAAAGTGTTTCAGAATCATTGTATAAATCTTTAAATAATACCATTTTGGTATCATCTTCGTTACCAAGTTTGTTCAGTGTTAAGTTTAAGATTCAGATGTCATGTATATTTTTGTTTAAGTTGATTTAATTTTTAAGTGCTTATTTTATTCTAGGATTTTGATGGGTGATTTGGAAGTGAAAAACATAGTCCTTATCCTCCTGATATCTGTTGGGGTGATACAAAAGACATGCAAACAAGATAAACCACAAAGATAGTAGAATGGTCCCTTCAGATTCCCTAATTGTTAAATCCTGGAAGATGGATTTCACTTTAATATTTGCTTTTTAAATGATGTGTGTAGAGATATGACTTCACTACTCTAGAAAACTTGGACTTTCTTAAATCAATTGAGTAGTTACATTTGATTATCTAATTTATTTCATCTATGCTTTTACATTTATATCTTTTACTGTGGATTGGAAATGGCATTTAGAACTTTTATGGAGGACCAGAGGAAAATTGTACGCCCTCTTTCTCAGATGCATCATTTTACATTTAATAAGCAGAATAGTGTAATGACAAAAAATGTTTTTACCTGTGAGAAGACATGACAGAATCAGCTGTTCTGTGAAACTAAGAATTCTGTCCTCCTTTCCAAAGTGGTCCACTTTTGGACCAGACTGAATAAAAGCACTGGTTGTTTTAGCAGACTCTAGTTCAAATTCTGGACCCCCATCCAAGTTCTGGACTCCAAATCCTGTAAGTTGCTCATCGGAGAGTCATCAGATAATGAGGCGGCATTATCATTATAATGATGAGTGCCCCTTGTGGCATTCAGGCTCTTTGTCTGAAGTGGCACTTATTTGGTGGTAAGACGTTTGTGATTGTTACTCATGGCAGGTGTCTATGAGATTACTAGAAAAAAAAATTGAAGTGATATCATATGCTCATCAGGAAGAAATAAGTGTGGTAATTGACTTTGCCCAGGCTTGTGAATCTTTTTCCATCCATTTCATTCAAATTTAAAAGTAGACGTTCTTAAATTCAAAGACTCATTCTGGCCATACTGGTAGATAGAAATACATCTGTATTGATTCAGGTTTACTCTATTTTAGATGTTTTCTGATTTTTAAAACAATTATTCAACTTCATTCTTGCTTATGAATCTTAACTAAGTTGTTTTGCTTTTGTTATTTTTCCATGAAATGGAAAAACGAGAAATGATGTTAAAAACCTAAAGGAGATATATAAAATATATACTGAAAAGGAGATACTTCAAAGCAAATTATCTAAACATAGCATATTTTCTCATAAAAATTAGAATTCAAATTTATGGTTTTAAAAAAAGAATATGATTTTCCTGATTTTACATACGTAATTAAATATATATAACACATATTCAGGTCTGTATGGTATTTTAGAAATTTGAAAAATTTAATAAGATATTGATTTTTAAAGATTTTTAGTGCTTAATGTACTTGGTCCAAATACCAATGGCTTTATTTTAGGGACAGATGAAACGTATTAACAAATTACCTAAAACTTTTGGATTTTTACACCTTTCATTTTTACTTCCACAAAATATCAGTAATAGTGGCAGCTAATGTTATCTGGAAACAATAAGAATATTTGCCTGACTTGAGAGACATCAGGTGTAAATTGAATGTTTCCAGCTAAAATTATATGTCATTGGGTAAAGTAAATAATTTAAATATTGATTAGTATTTCATAAAAGGCAAGGTCACAGGCTGTGAAAATATGAAAAGGTACGTTGAATAGATAATGATGAGAAAAAAGTGAAGATAGTTATATTTAAATGCAAACATCCATGCAAGAAATCAGCTGCTTGATAACTTACTAGAAGAATTTATTATTGCCACTGTACTCCAAACCACTAATGAGAAATGTTTTTTAAGATTTAAGATTGTATAAATGCTTTGTACCTAGAACTGATGGAAGTAATTGGTAAACTACTTAATCAAGTCCCACTTGGAAGTGAATGGGAACGAGAGGATAGAAAGTGTACGCTGGTAAGAAACCCAACAAGTCAGTGGAGTTCTCTTTACAGAAAGAAACAAAGATAGCAGTAATTAATGACCCTGACTCTGTGCCAAAAAAGCTTTCTTCTGACAACTCCAACTTAATTAAAACTTAAGACATTTCAATGGCCTCCGAAAGCCCCTGATGGGGTGAACTCTTGCAGACTCGTGAGAAAATTTTGTAAATTAAAGGAAAAGATGTGTGTTACCACTAGTGCCATGGCTCTAATCCCTGACAGTCAAAGAATCTATTTAGCCCAAGCCTTTTCTTTTAACTGGCTCACACCTGCAGGCTTCCTGGCACTTCCTCTGCACCAGAGAAGGCAGTTTTTGTGTTTTACGGAAGATCAGATAATAGGAGCCTTGCTGTTCCTTTTGTTTTTGTGCATTGTTCATTAGCCTGTGAGTGTTGCAGGCACACTTGATATGCTTGGCTTGCTCCAGAGTAGACCATGGCCTGAAAGCTTTAGGTGGTGCAACACAGGGTGAAGATGGGTTGGCGGAAAGAGTAAGTTTTTTTTTTTTTTTTTAAATGTGAAAGT